TCATTCTAAATTCCCTGTATTAGATGTAACATATGAACATAAATAATTTCCATCATATTCATGGTAAAAATTTAAAATGGTAACATAAACAAAAGTGGTGAGAACTATTATATATATTAGAACACAAAAATTAAAGCATAGTTTGTACTATATGTTTTCAATAGGTTAAATTAGTAGAGCTAAAAATAAACTTTAGTCTTGTACCATTTTTAGAATATAACATACTTGATTGCTCCATTATTATTTGATATTTGGGCCCAGCATGCAGCAGTTAGCAGATGCTAATACATATCAACTGGTTTCTGAGAAGGCTGCAACATGTTTGTTCACATCTCAGTTTTCTAAGGTCATGGCCTCTGGTTAATTTACCTATGCCTTTTTGTGCTCTTATCATGTCTAGGACATACTCATTTTTATTTTTTTAACTTTTAATTTGGAAATAAGAATATGTCCCAGGGGCAGCCATCTTGGGGCCCTGCACCCTTACACACGCGGAGGCGATAGTGCCTTAGTAGGTCCTAACCGCTAAGGAAATCAGCTAACGGCTCCCACGACTACCACTTCCCTTTACTTCTGCTCCAAGTCTCCACTTGATCCAAATTTTATGTACTCCCCTGCAGCAGAGATATATCAGACACTCCCTGAATTTGTTCTAAGTGTATCACGGATGAAGGAATCAAGAGCAATATCCTGGGGGCTGGGAGGATTCCCTTGGCTGGAGGGGGAAGGGATGGAAAAAACTACTTCTGGGCATAAGGGCATTTGGGGTAGCTGTCATGAAAGCTGGATGGCCGCCACCCCCCCACTCTTATTTCAATAAAATATTATATCACTATACAGAACATACAAAGTGTACTACCACATAGTCTATATATAAATGTTCTCTCAGTTATCAATTCTGCATCATCATCTAATGGTGGCTATTCAAAATGAGGGTTTACCACCCTTGAAACCCTGAAAAACCTATAAAAACCATTTAGTAATGAAATATTGAATTTTTCTCTGTACTTGCCAGCATCATCCTAGCAAAAGTTCTGAACTGTAGCAATGGCAGTTGGTTCCTGTCTTCAGCTTATTTTTGGCAGTCCCAGAATCAGCCTCTTGGCCACTCAGCGATATCTGCACCAGCTAAGCAATCCTCCTTCCTTAGAGTTCTGATCCCCAGAGCTGTATAGACTCTTCTCCAACAGTCTATATTCTGATAACTCCATCTCCCCTCTTTGTTCCCACAGTCTTCCTTTTTAGGGAAAACAGTTGTTTCCTAAAGTCACTCTCTCTGCATTAACTCAGTGTCCTACTTTTGCTTTCTCAATTCTCTAACATTTGTTTAATAATTTCTTTGTATTATCTCCTCTTTTTAAACATCTAGTGTGGCTTCTGTTTTCCTAACTAACACAAACTCCACAATTAAAAATAAATGGACAAAATATTGCTAAAAAGCATGTTAAATACGAAATGTTTTATAAAAAAGAGAAACTTTCTTGAAAAATATATACTCTCTATTTGATGCTATTTACTTTTAACATTTCTATTATATTAGATTATTAGTATTCAATTGCATTGCAAAATACAAGTTTAGAGTATATTTAATTATCTGGAAGTAGCATTTATCACTAATTCATTCCCTCTAACATCATTCTCTAGCTCAGAGTTAAATCTGTGGATCTTATATACATCTTTCCAATTGCTTTCATAGAGAAGACTTGCTTTAAAGAATCACATATGAGATTCAGGTTTTAAATGAACATTATAATTTATAACACATACCCTGAAATTCTGTGTCTCCAATTCCGATATGGATCATATAAACTTTCACAAAATGCCAATGAATGAATCACAAATTCTTCAATAGATGTCTGATCTGCCATTTCTTTCTCTTTTTTTTTGCTTTTTAACTGAGAATGAAGTTAAACATAAAATTAAAGACATGTTTCATTCATCATCTGACAACAAATTATGCTAATTCAAATAAGCTTAACTTACTCTTTTGAGACTGAAACAGTTATTTAATCACATGGACTGGATATACTCTTTCAAATTTTATTTTATTTATTTATTTTTTTTGAGACAGAGTCTCACTGTGTTGCCCGGGCTAGAGTGCCGTGGCGTCAGCCTAGCTCACAGCAACC